GTGTGACGCAGCTTTTCTCAGCTTGTTTAACTCCGACACTGAAGAGGAGGACTTCAATGGTTTCAGTGCGCCAGAGGACAATGAATGAGACGTTTTTTTTTTGATCAGAAACTGTTAAAGAAAACTACCAAAATAAGGTCAGTTAAATGAACCGTATTCCTCCGAACTTTAATTCTTAAAGGTTTGCTTTTTATGTTTTGATGTTGAATTCACTTTTTTGACGACAATTTTAGGTGTACTGTTTTTTATGTTGGGGGTGTGGCTTATAGTCCGGTGCGGCTTATATGCTAATGTTCACGTTTTTTTTTTAAATGGCAGGTGTGGCTTATAGTCCGGTGCGGCTTACAGTCCGAACAATACGGTACATTGTTTTCTCAGCTGAAATTACTTGAAATTTCATGATTTCATTGACTTTACAATTAATMTATAATGCTCATAAAAACATTTTCGTACCAGTCTGAAGGGGTGATGTACTGTAATTCAAAGAATAAGTTTGTGGAATAGTGTTGCTCCTATTTTAAAAAAAAACTTATAATATACCATTTGTGGCATCTAGTGGAAATAAGATATGAAGATATCTGATTATGTTTTTGTTTCATGTTTTGTAAATATGGAACAATGCAAAATATGTTGCTGAAATAAATTTTGAAGATCAAGTTTGTTTGAAGTTGTTTTTTTTTAATAATACAATAATATTTCTTTGCACCCTTCTTATTCATGACGATTTGCGTTTTTGTTTTTATTTTTACTGTATACTGTATAGATTGTTTTATGAATGAAATGAAAATAAATAAAGATTTTATAATATCATGCAAGCCCAACACACACACACGGGATGAATGTGGAGCAGGGGTAGGGCAACTGACTTGGAACCAGAAAGTTCCATGTTTGACTCCCTTCCATGTCTACATTGTTGTGGTGTCCTTGAGCAAGACCCAGCTGCTCCCCGGGCACTTAAAAAGCTGTTAAAGGAGTTGCCTTTAAACGCAAGAGTTGGCAGTTTCATTCTACCACTATTCAGTCATGTCGAAGTGGCCTTGAGAACAGTGCAAGTGCTCTAAAGCACTGACTAGTCTCCATTTAATGATTTATGTATATTTGCTTTGTAGAGAGATTAATAGTGCTGTGTGGGAAAATGAGGGCACTTTACGTAAAGCACTTTACATATCCTGGTTGACTAGAAAGGCCATTTGATCTTTTTTTTTTTACCATTTCTTCTCTCTCTTATTTATGCTTATTTGATTTTAATTAATGGGTAATTAACAGACTTCCTCAGAATTTGAAGAGGTAACTCAATTTGGTGTTTTATTTTTGTTGTTCTACTGTGATGTGGTAAATGTTTTGCTGCTGCCTATCTCGACAAGGTCTGCCTTAAAAAAAAGGTTTCTAATCTGCATGGGACTTTCCTTGCTAAATGTAGTGGTACCTTGTCCTACAAGTGTCCTAACTAACTAGTTTTTTGATATATGGTCAGTTTCCCGGATGATATTTTCCTTTGAGTTGTGAGCAAAAATTTAAGTTACAAGCCAGGTTCAAACACCGCATGGCACATTGAATGCTACAGTGAACATCCACCCAGCATCTTGTGTCTCACCTGTTCACTTTGTGGGGTTAGTTTGCAATGGTAGCATCAGTGTTATGCTCATATTTTGTGCTAGCAGATATTAATTTTCAGTTCAGCCTTTTTCTCTTCCTCCATCAGCATCTTCAAGTCATCTAATTTCCAAGGTTAATCTCAATCTCAGTTTTCTGCCACTTATCCACAGTCAGTTGTAGGGCTGTGTATTGGCAAGAATTTGGRGATACGACATGACAGAGGGGTCACGATATGATATATCCCAATATATTGCGATACTGTAAGCAAGGCGACATATTGCGATTTTTTTGTCCAAAAATTCTATTAAATAGAAACCTCTTACTGGAAAAAAAATTAAAATGAAAAACCCAAATTCATTGTCTCAGACAGACCTAATATTACGTAGACATACTTTTGATACATTTAGCTGTGTTCTGCTTTGTATGTATTGTGTTTATTTGTTTCATATTTCTTATTTCATCCATGTTTTTAATTATTAGACTAAATTTGCCAATAAGTAGTTTGAAAATATATTTTTTGCAGCTATTAATTTTTAATATTAATTTACAATATGGTCACCCAACACTTTATGTTGTCATAAAGTTCAGTAAACAGATATGAAGCTGCTGCACACAGAGTTTCTGGGATCAGCTGACCTGCATCCAGAACGTGATTTGCATAACTGTGGGTCGATTAGCAGGGCAGGTCCAGAAAATAAACAGTAAATAAATGGAGAAGCTAAACAATACAGTTAAACTGTTTTTGAAGCGAACACAGCAGGATAAACTTAAAGTATATGGACTTTGATGCGATCATCAGCCGGACAATGAGAGCAACAGACAAAGTTTTATGTCACGGGGCATCTTAAGGGCGGAGTGCCGAGCTTGAGGCGATAGACGCATGCGCTATATGCATGCCTGCCTGCCTTCTGTAACATGACGGCTGACTACAGTTAGAACAAGAGCGCACGAGACACTTWATTTGGCTTAAAATACAGACATTCCTTTTTTCCAACATTATCTTTATTGGTTTTACGACAATGCTGTCAATAATATACAAGACATAAGTGTGCTCTCATATCAAAAGGAAAAGTCAAGTGTGATTAAATTATTGTCAACTTGTTTTTCCTTGCCATCCAGGATATTATGAGATCTCCTAGGGCAGCACTTAATATATACAGTGTATGAGAAAAGAAAAACAACTCTCCAAACCCCCATCCTCCCTAAAGAAACCTGAGGAAAAAAAAAAAGAAGAAACAAACAAGCAAAAAACAAAACAATTACAAGAACAACGGTTTCTCTATTTTCAGGAGTTGGCCCAAATTGTTCTAGTATTGTACATGGTTCAGAAAATACAAACTTGAATGTATATTTCAAAGTAAAGATGTCGAGTATGCAAATTAAGGACATTATCTTAGGACACTGCATTGCAAGGGACCACCATCAACAATCCCTCATCTGCCCCTCCCCTCGTATCCATGCTCACTATATATTGCATAAAAGGACCCCAAATATTTTGAAATCGCGATAGTTTCCCTTTTATAGTGTAAGTAACCTTTTCCATTGGTAATGTTGTGGACATTTCATTAATCCAGTTAATGAATTTTGGTTTACTTGTACTCTTCCATGAAAGTGCTATGACTCTTTTTGCAAGTAGTAAACATAAATCCTTCAGTACATGCCTTCTCCCAATGCTCTGAAGGCAAGTTGTCGTCAATCCACCCTCCAGGCATTAAGTTTCCATGAAGAGGACTCAGAGGATTCTTCCATTAACATGCTATATAGTTTGGAGATAATTCCTTTTCCGAAGCAATCATTCTTCATTTCAACTTCCACCAAAGTGGACAGCGGCGGGATGGACTCGTACTGATTTTGAGATGCTTTAATAAAATTTATCACCTGTAAATATTTAAAATAATGCTTATTTGGAATATCATACCTGGCCTTCAACTCTTCAAATGACATTATAAACTCATCATCTGATTCCACAAGATCTCCTATTGTCTTTAAACCTTTTTCAGCCCATTTRCTAAAACCAGGATCTGCCCTGCCTGGAGGGAAAAACTGATTACCCCATWTCGGACTGAAGCGTGATAAAGAGGAGAGATCTCCTAAATATTTCTTGACCTGATACCAAACCAAGATCATATTTCTGACTATAGGGTTTTTAGTCTTTTTTTAAGCATTCTGATATTTGATGAGTAAATGTACGCGGCTAGAGGGAGAGACACAGAACAATTTTCGATATTTACCCAAGGCAAGAGACATTTATCCGTAAAGTAATACATTATAGTTTTCAACTGAGCTGCCCAATAGTACCAAAGTGGATTGGGACACCTGAGGCCTCCTCTATCATGGGGTTATATTTAACTGCAACAATGTCATTTATACATGGTACTATCCTAAATCCCCAAATATGTAAAACAATCTGCCTTTTTAAATTGGAAAGGATTCCTGACACCGTTTCTTTCTTCTGAATTAAGTAACATTAACGTAGACTTTTCTTTATTTACTTTACATCCTGATATTCTTACAAATATGTTTATTTAATCTAACAAGGCTGGAATAGAGTCTTTCAGTTTTCCAAAAAGAGAATGACATCATCAGCAAATAAAGCAATTCTATGTTCCTGTTGGCCCATTGTCAAACCAGCTATGTTCTTATGAGACCGCACTGCAATGGCAAATGGTTCTATTGCTAGAATAAATAATAAAGGGGATAGGGGGCAACCTTGCCTACAACCTCACTTAATAGTGAATGATTTAGATATAACTCTGTTACTATTTCAGCATAAGGCTCATTGTATAAAAGTTTAAACCATCGACAGAAATTGTTCCCACAGCCAAATCTTTTCAATATCTCAAATAAATAGGGCCATTCAACTCTATCAAAGGCCTTTTCCACATCAAAATACAGACAGACATTCTGACAAATAAGTAACTGTTRGTAACCTTACCTCAGCTTAGAAAGCAGAGGGTGTCGGTCTTTTCCGCTCAGATTCAGCTATCGGAACATGAAGCTAATGCTTACTCACAATGCTAATGCTACCCTTACTCCCTGGCGCTCAAGAGGTAGAGGAGCCAAATGGCTGGCTCACTGCTGCTTACTAGCGGTCAGAGGCTGAACTACAACATAAAAATGAACGGCTGGCAGGAAAATTGACGTTTTACACCTTATTAAAAAATTGATACAGGGCTTTAGAATATCGATACAGTATCGGGAAATGAAATATCGCGACATTTCAGTGTATTGATATTTTCTTACACCCCTAGTCAGTTGAGAGCGGTCCAGGAGAGAAGAACAGACGTCCTTCTCCCTAGTGACAACTTTCCAGTTCGTCCTGGSGGACACCGAGGCATTCCCAGGCCAGGGAGGATATATAATCCCTCCAGCGAGTCATGGGTCTTTCCCGGGACATCCTACCAGTGGGATGTGCCTGGAATACCTCTAAAGGGAGGAATCCAGGAGGCATCCTAATCAGATGCCCAAACCACCTCAAATGACTCCTTTTGATGCGGAAGAGCTACTCCGCAAGAATCTCTACTCCGAGCTACCCCAGGATAAAAGAGCTCCTCAACCTATCTATGAGGCTGAGCCTGGCCACCCTACAAAGGAAGCTCATTTTGGCCAGTTATATCCAGGCTGTGTGCATTCTATTSTATTGTGTTTTTATACAATATTTGTAATTTACAAGAACATTTTTTCTTCAACGGAATTTTAATTCATTTCAATGGAGAAAGCTGATTTGACATACAGGTAATTTCAGTTATGAGCTCCGTCATGGAACGAATTACACTCCCAAGTCAAGGCACCACCGTTAAGGTTAAATAAAAATAAAATGCAGACATATCTCTACCTGAGTGGCTTTGCTGTCTGGTGAATCTTTCTCCCCRGAGGACATGCTGTCTCTCTTGGCACTTTGTGCTCTCTCTGAGGTCTCTGTTGAAGGGGTGCTCTTACCTGAAGATCACAGAACAGGAATTTACATTTATTTTTTATTTTTTGAAAAGGGTATCCCATGCCCCTCAAAAAATGAAACAAAAAAAGTTAGACTTCTGTTACACCTTCTGGAACAAATATTTTTCATTTTTTGCTTCTTGGGGAAAATATATTTGTTACTCCTCAACAAACCAAAGAGATATAACTTTCAACACAGAGAAACATTTTCTGCCTTGCTGCAGGACAAATACCCTAAAAATTACTCAAAAAAAAAAAAACTACGGTTGTTTCGCTATGCGTGCGTGTGTGTGTGTACACAGATTTTTGCTTCATGATCGGTACAATTATTGACCATTTCCCCGGTACACAGAGCCTGGTGAGGTTAGGGTTTGGGTCAGGTGTGTAGTCTACCTGGGAGGTTATGGTTGGCTATAGAATTGATGGGGAAATGAACGGAAGCCGATGCAAAGTCCCCATGAGGAGGACAGAACAAACGTTTGTGCGCGGGAGGTGTGGAGCAGAGCCTGCGAGCAGAGCGCACTGTTATTAGGAGAGATGAGACTCTCGGCGGGCGACCATTGATACTGCTGGATCAAGTACTCCTTCTGAGCATAGTTTCAGTGTTGCTGGGA